ACCGAGGCCGCCACTGGTGCCCCCCTGTCCACGTTCCCCCGGGACCCGGTGTCCGGCCTGTTCACTCTGGACACCGTGACCCCCCCGGCTGGAGCGCTCCCTCAGGTGGCTGCGTCTACCCAGGTTGCTGCTGCCTGCTCCTGTCGGTCCCTCACTCACCCGACTCTCCTTTGGCACCACCGCCTAGGTCACCCTGCGCTCCCGCGTCTGCGTCACATGTCCCAGCACGGTCTTGTCCTTGGTCTCCCAGGTTCTCTCCCCGTGTCTCCCTCCTCCCCAGCCCCACCTTGCACGCCTTGTGTCGAGGGTCGGCTTCGCCGTGCCCCTCACTCCTCCTCGTTTCCCCCTACCGCCGCGCCGCTACAGACCCTGCACCTGGACGTCTGGGGCCCCGCCCCCGTCCATGGGCCGCGTCGAGAGCGCTACTTCCTTGTGCTTGTCGACGACTTCACTCGTTACACCACAGTCTTTCCCCTGGAGTGCAAGGCCGACGTGCCTGGCGCTTTGATCCCCTGGCTTGTCTCTGCGCGTGTCCACCGCGGTCTCCCTGTCTTGCGTCTTCACTCCGACCGTGGTGGCGAGTTTGCCTCAGGTGTCCTTGGTCGCTTTTGTCGTGCGGAGGGCATCACCCAGACGTTCACCCTACCGGACTCCCCACAGCAGAATGGGGTCGCTGAGCGACGCATCGGTTTGGTCATGGAGGTGGCTCGCACCTCCATGACCCATGCTGGTGCACCCCATTTTCTGTGGCCGTTCGCTGTGCGCTACGCTTCTCACCAGCTTAACTTGTGGCCGCACCCTCAGCAGCCGCAAGTTTCGCCGACCCGTCTTTGGACTGGGTCTCCTGGTGACGCGTCTGCGTTCCACGTCTGGGGCTGCCTTGCTCACGTCCGTGCCTCCGGCACGGACAGCCTCACTGCCCGCACCCTTCCCTGCGTCTTCCTCGGTTTTCCCCTTGACGCGTCCGACTGGCACTTTTACCACCCGCCGTCTCACCGCTTCTTTCACTCTCGCGACGTCACATTTGACGAGTCCGTCTCCTACTACCTTCGCTTCACCCACCGCGGTCCCCCGGTTTCCCCCCCCTGTTCCTGGTCACTCCTTCCCCGGTAGTCCCTGCCCCTCCTCCTCCTCCTCCCCGTCCTGCCCCCTCAGGTGTGTCCCACGTCACCCCGCTTCCGTCGGTAGACCCGGTTGAGGAGTGTTCTGACTCTGGTGGCCCTGCTGCGCAATCCTCGCCGGCTGCCCCTCCCCCGGCGTCCCCTCCCCAGTCCCCTCCTCCACCGCCTCTGCCGCCGCTGCAGCTGTCGTTGTCACTGCCGCCGCTGCCGCCGCCGCCGTCCCAGCACCCGTTCGCTAACTCTGGGGGTGCTCGTCCCGGTCGCCCTGGGGGTGGTCCCTCTGGGGGTGCTGGTGTGGAGTGTGTCGGTGGTAGCCGAGGAGCAGCTTGCGGTCCAGGTGTCGCCGTTGTGCCGCCACAGCAGCTGTCCCCGCCGGTGTCAGCCCTTCGCCTGCTCGGCCTTCCGTCCCCCGACCCTGCGTCTGTTCCTCTCCGACCGTCTCCTCCTCTTCCTGTCTACGGCCCTGTGTTCCCTCCGCCGGACTCGTCCCCGACCCGTCTTCCCCCTCGTTCCCCTCCTGTGTCCCCTCCCCTGTCTCCTGACCCGACTCCTCCGTCGCACGTCTGGTCTCACCGTCCCTCCCGTGCTTGTCCTACCTCGCCTGTCTTGCGCTCCCACCCTATGTTGCTTCGTTCCCACGCGTCTCGTCCTCCCCTTCTGCCGTCGCCTCCTCCGTCCTCCCTTGTTGTTGCACCCCCCCCGCTATCTGACTAGCTTCGTGCCGCTCGTCGTTTTGTTCCTCGGGTCCTTGCCTCTCTCGTTACCGACCCGTCTGTTCCTGTCTCGTGCCTTGACGCTCTTGTCGCTGCGGTCGCTGACTTCGCCTCTACCCGCCGCCTCGACTACGCCATAGCTCTGGTCTCTGACCCTGCATGTCCTCCGTCTGTCGGGGGTGCTCCTGCCCTTGGCAGTGACGTCCTCGAGGACCGCCAGTTCGAGCTTGCTTTCCTGTCCGAGGCTGCTCCCCATCTCTGTTCCATGCTGCTAGTCCCTGAGGGTGACCCAGACGCTTTCGACATCCCAACTCCTCGCACTTACGCTGAGGCGACCTCGGGACCTTGGGCCTCGCTGTGGATAGCTGCCATGGAGCAGGAGATGGCATCTTGGAGATCCACCGGCACCTTCGTCGACGCAGTTCCCCCGCTTTGGGTGAACCTAGTCGATGGCCGCTTGCTCTTCAAGGTGAAGCGCCCTCCTGGAGAACCGCTTGTGTTCAAGGCACGCTACGTGGCTAGAGGCTTCAGTCAGCGTGAGGGGGTGGACTTCTTCCAGACCTTCGCTCCGACCCCGAAGATGACTACTCTTCGGGTTCTGCTACACCTAGCTGCTCAGCGCGACTACGAGCTTCACTCCCTCGACTTCTCGACTGCCTTCCTTCAGGGCAGCCTACACGAGCAGGTCTACTTGCGTCGCCCTCAGGGCTTTACTGGCACCTTCCCTCCTGGGACCCAGTGGCTCCTGCGGCGCCCTGTTTACGGCCTGCGCCAGGCTCCCCGTGAGTGGCACGACACCCTCCGTGCTACGCTTGCTGACCTGCAGTTCTTTCCGTCTTCCGCAGACCCCTCACTCTTCGTTCGTGCTGGCCAGACTCCGTTCTACATCCTTGTTTACGTTGACGACCTGGTCTTTGCCACAGCAGATAGGGACGCACTGGCCCTCGTGAAGGCAGAGCTGCTGAAGAGACACACGTGCACTGACCTTGGAGAACTGCGCCGTTACCTTGGCTTGCAGATCTCCAGGGACAGAGCAGCGCGCACCATCACCCTGACTCAGTCACACTTGGTGCGCCAGGTCCTTCAGAGGTTCAGCCTTCAGTTCTCCTCTGCACAGCCCACCCCTCTGCCTGTAGACCACAGACTCTTCGCTCCAGTGTCTGAGGAGTCGGTTGAGCCCAGCGGCCCCTACGCAGAGCTGGTGGGTTGCCTCATGTACCTGATGACTTGCACTCGCCCAGATCTCGCATACCCTCTCAGCATCCTGGCTCGCTTTGTGGCCACAGGCAGACACCGACCGCAGCACTGGTCTGCCGCTAAGAGGGTTTTGCGTTATCTTGCTAGTACATCGGGCATGGGGTTAGTGCTAGGAGGACGCAGGTCAGTGGTCCTTACTGGACACACCGACGCTTCGTGGGCAGACGACGCCGAGACACTCAGGTCTACCCAGGGCTACTGTTTCAGCCTTGGCTCAGGTGCCGTCTCGTGGAGAGCTACCCGGTCCTCGTCTGTTGCCCAGTCCAGCTGTGAGGCTGAGATCTACGCTGGTGCCATGGCGGCACAGGAGCTCCGCTGGCTGACCTTCTTGCTCACTGACTTAGGTGAGCGGCCTAGCTCTGCCCCGGTCCTGTTCGCTGACAACAGGGCCATGATCCTCCTGTGTCAGGAGCCTCGACTCGAGGGCAGAGCAAAGCATATTCAGCTGCGATACTTCCTCCTGCGCGAGCTACAGCAGCGACGCCAGGCTCGCGTAGTACACTTGGCCTCAGGTGCCAACACAGCTGATATCTTTACGAAGGCGCTTGCGCCTAAATATCATCAGGGGCACTGCGTACAGCTTGGTCTAGTCCCTGTAGCCTCTCACTTGCTAGGGCCTTGACTTTGTACTGCCCTTTTATATGTATACTCAGACTACACTTGTGTCCTCTCCCTGTGGCTGGACTAGTAGTGCCGCCCTGATCTTGTTCTTGCCTTTTCTGTACTCCTTCTGACTGGTCTTTTAGACCCTTGTCTCAGAGGTTGGACTAGTAGTGCCGCCCTGAGCTGCTTGTTCAGGACATGCCCCTATGCAGTCTAGGGGGTGTGTCAAACATGTGTATTAGTTATGTTTGCATAGACTGTATAGGGTCACCTCTTAGAGGGTACAATACTCAGGTATATCTTGTTCAAATAATATAAGTTATAATTTAATATAGGCTTGGTAGGTTGTTACTGAACCTTTCTGTAGGGGGTATAAACCCCTCCTTGTACTCCCCTCTCTTTCTAATCCAACTCTCTTCTCTCTCGACACTCTCGTCCAGCTCCTAGCTTAACCCCGCCGCCACATTCATGGCGGCCTTGTTCCTGCCTAGTATCCTAGCCTAGAGCTACTTTAACATGATATCAGAGCAGGTGACCGTTTGTGGGCCTGCTCCCCATGCTTCCGCCGCGTGCTTTAATCGTCCGTGCCTGTGCCGCCGTCGTGGCCCCTTATTTTCCTGCCGCCGTTGCGGCCACTTGTTGTTGTGCCGCCGTGGCGGCCTCCCGCTTTTGTGCCGCCGTCGCGGCTTCTTGTCTTCGTGCCGCTGTGATGGCCGTTGCGAGATGCCGCCGCGGGCTCGTGGTCCTGCCATCGCCCGTCCGCCTCGTCGCCGCTGCATCAGCGTCGCCGCCCTCCCGCCAGTAAGCGTCGCGCCATTTATGGCGCGTCGCTGAAGATTCGTCCCTCCCCCCCCCCCCCCCCCCCGCCTCCCCCTCCTTCCCCTGCATCCCCCACCTCCTTGCTGCAGCCGACGACTGCCTCATGAGGGCCCTCCCCACCGCCGAGGGGAATGGACATGCCGCCAAGAGGGCGGGGGCCGCTGCACCAGCCTCTGACGTTCAAGCCGCCGCTGCCGCCGCTGTTGCCGCGGGCCGGGCGCCGCCGCACGCCGCCGCCGCCGCCGCTGTCGTCACTGTCGCTGCTGCGGCCATAGCCATCCCGCGGGCCGTGGGATCTGCCCCAGGGCTCAAAATTGGTTTAGGGGGACCCTTGGTAATCAGGGTACCTCAAAAAAATTGCCCTGCCTCCTAGGGTGGAAATTTCGGCACCCTTTGAAAATTAGGGTAAATTTGAAAAAAAAACCGAGTACACTGTTTGGCCAGGGAAAAAAATTGAACACCCTTTCATGTGCTTACCGTACAACAGTCGATCATACTTTCGAGTGCTTTCAGATCTAGAATGCATACAAGCACGTTGTCTCTAACATTATCAATGCATAGCTAGATAACCTACTACTACTACTACTACTACTACTACTACTACTACTACTACTACTACTACTACTACTACTACTACTACTACTACTATTACTACTACTACTACTACTACTACTACTACTACTACTACTACTACTACTACTACTACTACTACTACTACTACTACTACTACTACTACTACTACTACTACTACTACTACTACTACTACTACTACTACTACTACTACTATTACTACTACTACTACTACTACTACTACTACTACTACTACTACTACTACTACTACTACTACTACTACTACTACTACTACTACTACTACTACTACTACTACTACTACTACTACTACTACTACTACTGCATGTTATTGATTTTGATCCTAATTCATAGGAATGCGCTCTGAGTCTCACGGCAGTCACTAATACTCCCGCTACTAATAGCTCACTCTGCAGACCCACTATTCCCCCCGCCGACTGAGCCGGGAGCAGCAGAGGGTGTTGCGTTCTCTGGCTCAGCAAACAGCGCCGAACTGGGGATGGCGCCGGTGAAGTCTCGGATAGTGCGGCGGGGCTTTTCTCCACGAAAGATGGCCACCACGTCGAACCAGTCCACGTCATAGTCCAGCAGGGAGCACCGCATGAGATGGCCGAGGGTGATGTCGCCCATGCTACCCCGCGCCCATGTCTTTATCAGGTTCTTCTTGGAGAAACCGCGCTCGCAGTCGACAGTGCTCAGCGGGAGAACGGCGACAGCTTGCCACATGAGCATGATGTTGGGGTAGCTGAGCTGCCAGTTGCTGTCACGCAGCGTGTTGCTCAGCGCCTGGAAGAAGTCCTCATGATGATGCTGGGAGTGCATGGTGGATGTGAACATCCATAGCTCCGTGACTGCATTGTTGTACTTGAATCCTGCAAGGGGGGTTCGGGGCGGTGAGGGAGGAATGGTTCAGTGTTGAGACTTGAGAGGCAGCGATTCTGTTCACATTGCATAGCATACCATGACTCCATGGTTGAGAAGTAGGCGCTCTAGATTACCTGGTAGCTTGTGCCGAAACAGGCTGTCCAGCTGCTTCAGCCACTTCTTGAAGGCCGCCACGCGTAGGATGTCGTCATCCAGGTAGGTCTTGTCCAGGAACAACTTAGTCCCCTCCAGGTTACGCAGATCGTTCAGGCGGCGGTCGAGGAACATGTTGACGGAGCGAGCATACTTGACGCAGAGCTCGAAGCAGGCTGTCACGTCGCCGTCAGAATCTTGGCCCGGCAGCGGTCGCTCGTGGAGTTCGAAGGAGAACGACTGCGGGTTTCCGTCACCGTTGACGCCCTCTGCCATCATCACCCGCTTGTCCTTAGCTGCATGTGCCGCGATGAACTCCGGCAGATGGAGCTTCTCCCCATGGCCGAAGCCGTGCCCAGGCCCAGAGCTAAGATAGCGCGCCGAGATCCGCATCTTGGTTTGCTCAACCACATGTGCCACGAGTGTCACGTCAACCTGTACGGGCGGGCACAACACACGCACCACGCATCAGTGCTATGCTTTGCGCCGGAAACCACATGGACCGGTCAGCAAACATGGGGGGTGAGAGTCAGACACGCGTAGCGATATATTAAACAGATCAGACACGGTGATGCATACTTGGCGCTGCTGAAACCGTTGGTTGAGGATGTTCAGCTCCGTCAGAATGTCGGCGAGGAAGCGCAGGAGAAAATGAAACTTAAACGAAGTAACGACTTCATACAAGTCACTCCCATGCTCGCGTAGCAGCAAGATGGCGGCTGGGAGCACGTCCACGAGGCGGTTCACCGCCTCGCCCCTGGAGAGCCAGCGGATGACATGGATTCCCTGGTGTTCCAGGGTCGTCTAACAGAAGATCAGCTGCAGCGCCATGAAGCGGGTGTAGCGCACGTGACTGCGTCCAAGGATGTCGGCCAGTGTCCGTATGATAAGGTCAATGATGCTTAGCTCGGGCACGGCTGCAGCCGCGTCCTTAGCCGCCAGCGCCTCCCTGAAGGCGGGGTGGGAGGATAGGGGAAGAGTAGTAGAAAGGCTGATGTTACTTCCAGGGATATAAGGCACGACCATGCATTTCATCCGAAAGTTTATACGTCCGTCGAACCGCAACAAACCGATGGGCAATGCAGTGAATCGAGAGGAGGTGCTCGATTTGTGCGCGCAGACGGGTCACTACTCCGCTCCGCTCGCCGGTCATTACGGAAGCTCCATCAGTCGCGATGCCCACGATCTTTTGCAGGTCCAGTCCAATTCCCTGGATGTAGTGCAAGAGGGAGGAAGTCAGAGATGCCGCGTCAGTCCGCTCGACACTCAGAAGTGTGACAAACTCGGTCGCCACGGTGTTGCCCTTGAAAAACGTCGCGTAGAGCACGAGATGTTTCCCGTGGATGCGATCCGTGCTCTTGTCGATGCTGATGCCGACGTAGGGAGAGGCGTGAAGGTGTTTCAGCTGTTCCTCCTGCAGATACTCCGACATGGACCGTATGCTCTCCTTGAAACCGTAACTGCATGACACGGAAACAAGGAGAGACGGACGGCAGGGCATTTGTACCATACAAGAAGGCCACAATTTGTGCACGTGGGGACGGAGGACGAGCAGTGAGCATCAAACGGCAAATCGCACAGCACAAGAACTACTGTCGAGGTTTTAACATACTCTGTGTAGTAGGCGCCGTACCCACCACCTGGCGGCAGATCGGGGTGGCCTTCCTTCGCAAGGAACCAGCACAGGGGGATGAACATCGCGATGGGCGCATCATGCCTGCAAATGAACAACGCGATGTGCAGCATGCGAATAAGATGCCGCGTCTGGTGATCCGTCCGCTGCCAGCGGGTCAGCTTTACTTGTCGCGCGCGCTCTTTCTCAGCATCCTCCTCCGCCTTGATCGCCGATTTGTGCGCACGGGTGCCGATGTGAGAGCGGATGCTGCCGAGCTGCAAATCACGCCCACCCTCACCCTTGATGCCATACGACGTGTTCGCACATGGGTCGGCGTGTTTGAGGCACGTGGCGCACTTGAGAGCAGGTCGTCCGTTCTTCATTCGATGTAGCCGCAGCCAGGGGAACCGCTTCGACCAGTCATTGTCGAAACGGTTCTTTATTACTGCATACTCGGCCTCAGCAGCGGTCGTCGGCAGAGCGTCGGCAGCAAGCCCGGCAGGGCGAGAAGCGCGCGCGGGAGGCGGGCTTGCTGGGCGGCGAGGCGGAGGCGCACCCCAGAGGGTCGACTGCGTCCATGCGGACCGTCGCGGCCTTTTGGCAGTCTCGGAGGTAGGGGAGGGTGGGGTTGTCACGGAGGGATGGTCCGACTCATCTGCATCGGCAGACTCTGAAACGTCGATGGGCTCGATGCCCCGTTGAGATGGAGAAAGGGATCTAGGAATCTGTGGTGGGGCGGGCTGAGGAATTTGCAGAGAGCGCGGGGGAGATTTACGCTGGCTGAACGAGGGCGCGACTGCTGGTTGAGCGAGGGGGAAAACGCCGAGGACGCTAAGGCCATCACGATGACCAACATGGCCATCGTCAGGCTCGTCGTTCTCGGGAACGGCCATGTCTGAGTAGTAGAAGCGATAGAGTAACAACTAACGAGGGGAATGGTTGACCCAGCTCGGCTGGTTGGGTGGAAGTATGAAGAGAAGGTGGGGGAAGAAGAGGATGAGGACGATGGGCCAAGAATGGTCTCGTGATAGGGAACGAAAACCACACAGCGCGGCAAAGTCAACCTGCTATGGCAGACTGTCCTTGCGCCGCGGGTGTTGCTGCGCTGGTGCATGCGATGCCCAGCTGTCCTTGAGACCACGCGGGAAAGTGGCCTCGATGCATAGCGCATACTGCATCTGGCACGCCGCTGGCAGTAGTGCTGCCACAGCGCGACGAATTCACTGCCACGCGCGCCGATTCTGGGGGGCTTGACTGCCAGTGGGCGGGCATGGCTGGCGGGGTTTCACGCGTGGCAGATTCGACAACAATCGAATCTGCAGACCTTGTAGGCTTCTGTTTCAGGGTGTTTTCGGCAACACCCTGCCTGGTCAGGGTATATCATGGTTTACTCTGGCTACAGCAGGGTAAAAATAAACTTACACGTTTAGCGAAAGTGTCACAAAAAAAATACCCTTTGAAAATCAGGTGATCCTGAAAAAGCGGCCGCTGGCAAGGGCAATCAGGGTGAAATACCCTTCAAATTTGAGCCCTGATCTGCCCACTTCCGGAGTCGTTTCGGTTCCTGCTGGGAATGGGGGTGCTGGGCTAGGGGGTGTGGGTGTGTGTGTGTGGGTGTGGGGGTGTGAGTGGGCTTGACGCTACCAAGCCTAGGGGGTGTGTTCAAATTATATAAGTTATAATTTAATATAGGCTTGGTAGGTTGTTACTGAACCTTTCTGTAGGGGTTACAAACCCCTCCTTGTACTCCCCTCTCTTTCTAATCCAACTCTCTTCTCTCTCGACACTCTCGTCCAGCTGCTAGCTAAACCCCGCCGCCACATTCATGGCGGCCTTGTTCCTGCCTAGTATCCTAGCCTAGAGCTACTTTAACATATCTATCTGTACTCTCCCACTACTCATCATTCACTTCTCTCATTCTGATAGATACGTTATACACAACATGACATGTTATTCAGGACTTCATCTTATTTTGTATGCTTACCATACCACTTCAATGACCTGTTATTTGTACGGATATATTTTGTTTTGCTTCTTTCCTATGCCCTATCTATTTCCACATAAACAACATCACACTCGACAGATGTCCGTGCAAGTCCATGTCATTGTACTACGTCCTGCTTCTGGTCTCCTTGGCCGCTCTGTCATTATAAAGCAGCACTTTCTCTTTCCTTTCACAGTATATACATGACTCCCCCTCTGATCTGAGGTGGCTTACAGCACTTGAAGACTACACACAGAGCGGCGTGGTTCCAGCGTGAACGATAATCCTGGATGGGCTTGGTGTCCCAGCAGCAGTGGCGCTTTCAGGAACACACCCAGCAGACAGTCTCCGGGGCGGAGTGCCTGAAACCCTTCTAGATAACTCCTGCTGCTTCTGGAGCTGTTGGGAAGGCGAAGCTGATGCGGACAAATCGACCGGATCGATAGGTATGACGGGAAGGAGGTCACAATTGCAGACCTCGATCATGTAGTTGTCAGGATCGAAGAAGAAGATCTGATCGACCAATATCCCGTCCTCCAGCACCTGCTGCTTCACGAACGAGATCGCCAGAGCGATTAGCTTCCTCTCCACTTCAGCCAGGTTGTCGGACTGCAAGAAAGCAGATCGTGTTGTTTAATAACCACAGAAACATCTGCCAAAGTTCTGACGTGTGAGAAGAGATACTAAATAAGAGAACGGTCCCGAAACTTGCCTGAAACGCGATATGGTTATCCCGAGGGGTGAGGGTTCGTGGCATCGGAGTGCAACCGCTTTCGCCTAGAAGGTGAAGCCCGATGCCGTAGTTGAATAACCTGCGAAAGTCCGATGTTGATAAACCACGCGTTAAGAAAACGATAAACCATTTGCTAAGGAAAGGCACGAAGATATCACTCAGACGTGTAGCTAATCTCACCAAGCACCGTCGAAACTGAGGGACTTCTCGGGACGCTTTACCGGTTGAAAGCCTAAAACGCGCGAATAGAACTCGAGAGACTTCTGCACTGAGGCACACTTGATGGAGACATGGTTGATGCAGCGTAACGGCAGTGGGCCTGGCCCATGTTTCCGGGTTGTCTCCATCGAAAGGCCCTACGGAACACGCTGCTAACAAGCGTCTCAACAAGCTCACGAAAGAATCTCGGTTTTTTTCCAGTGAGGTAGCATCGCTATCAGTATGCCTCATTTATCCTGGCGGATACCCAGATCCCAATAAAAATCGCCCTGGACGAACTCGTCCGGACGACGAACCGCACATCTTTCCAGAAGCTGAAACCGGATGCCGAAACGAGGTCACCAGCAAGTCGAAGCGCTCGCCGCCAGCAGTTGGCCGTTTACGGCTTGCCTTGCGCCTCATGATCTCTGGTGTAGCCACCAAATGGCTGGGTGGGACTTGGGTGAGGGGAGGGGAGGGGGAGCTGCCCATCTGTCAGATCATGTGATGCAAATGACACCGTTCGGCTGACGAAGCCAGAGAGGCTAGGCGGGAAACCGGCGTACTTGGTAGACGCAGCCTCACAACTGCGCTGAAGATATAAACATAAGAAAAACGGAAGTCGTACGATGGGAAGGTGTTCATGAATGACGAGTCTGCTCCACGCACATGAATGGTTATGTGACGTGGCGTTCTTCCAAGTCAGCACCGTACGTGGATATTGGCATGTGAACGAAGTCTCGCGAAGGCTCACAAATTCTATCGTCAAATTCGTTTCTAATTTCGCATGATTATGTCCTGGTTTCGCCTACCGCGTCGTCAAGTGGTTTCCGCATTTTCTGGATATGCTGGACCCCAACGAACAATGTGAGGTGAATTTCGATAGATAATTTTCGAGACTTCTATGAATGTACTGAAGCATTCATAGCACCACCAGTTTGTTTGCAGATCTAGAAAAAGGACTTTGTAGGCTCCTCTTCAGCAAGAAATCGTAAGCCCCCAACTTCTCTCCCCGCCAATTCACCCCCAACCTGGAGGCCTGTCACATTCAGGTGGGGAACTATACAGAATAGACAGCCCGAATACAGTAGAGTGAGGGCATTTCTTGCAAGAAATGCACAGCATTGTCTCTCTTCCTTGTGTTATCGCCATTCCTTGCGCACACAAGAGCAAGGCCTCCAGTTATGCTGCAGCCTGCATGTCCAGTGCAAACATCAGATATCGGTCTATTCTTGCAAACCAATTGCAAATGTGTTTCTCATTCGTGATTAGAATTCTAGCTCCATTTGTTCACGACTTGTGGTGGGATTAGTGCGTTGGCAGGATTCACGTACAGTATTGTAAAAATGACGAAGAAAGGTGGCTCGCTCGAACCCTCTCGCACGCTGCAAGTTTCGTCTGCCCCTAGTACGCTCCCCCATCAACTCTAGAAATGTTTGCTTTCACGAAATTCTCCCGTAAAATCATCCGCTTTCCTCGATTCTACCACTGCCAGGTCCTTTCACTAATCTTTCCCCCTGTCCCGTTCCTCCCTCGCACGTTTCAGAGGTTCGCAACATGACACCGTCGGCGGAGCGTCGGCGCGCCATGGGGCGGCACGAGGGGCACGAGCACCACAAGGCGCGCCACGCGCACGACACGCTCTGGAAGCAGCCCGGCGAGCGCGGGAGCTACACCGCGGCGACCCTCGTGGTGGCGGGAATCGTGGCCGTGCTGCTCGCCGCCGCGCTCTTCAGCGCGCGGCAACTCATGACGATGCAGGAATAGACGGCGGAGTGAACAACACGAGAGTCGCCGCGTTCTTCGGCGCGCGGAAGCTCATTATGATGCAGAGCAGGGCTAAATGACGGAGTGAATGGCACGAGGGCCTAGGGCCGCTGCCTTCTTTGGCCCGCGGGAGTCCATCGTGAGTCAGGATGCGGGAACGAATGGCAGTTCCGACCGTCGCAGTTCACGCACAGGTCAAACTGCCCGAGGGGGTGAACCGTGTGAAAGGATTCCTCTCTCATATCAAGAGGTTCAAGCATGGGTGGAGCGCTGGGCGGGGGAAGGGGAGGAGATTCAACCCATTTCAAGTGCTCAAGTAGTTGCTTGGTAGAGTCAATACAGTGACAGGGTGGACAGGGCCAGGTGGGAGTTGCAAAGTCCATGCTCCAACTTTTCTTGGAGCTGTTGACAGTTGCACAATGTAGTTAGGATGGACCATACATCAGTTGCGCTCTTGGATGTGTTGCTCTTGTTCTCTCCAGCTAAGGATGGACCTCTGGTCCTCTGCTCATGTAGGTACTGGGTTGTGTAAGGAACCTGCTATTGCTTCCGTTCCCTGGCTTGTGCTTGGGGAATCTATACATTGCCCTTATTGAGGTTGGATTTTCAGAACGCCGAAAACCAGTAGAAGTGCAGAGCACTACAAGCTAAGCACGTGGTCCTTTTGGCCTCTTTCCTAACCTTTTCAGTGAAACAGAAACACCTCCTTGACACAAACACTGTAGCGCTTCTCAACACTTCAGCTTGCTAATCCCACCTCAGAAAACCACTTCGCACGTAGAATTGAAAGCGTCAGATATACGTGTTGGAAATACCTCGAAGACTTGAGCGTTTCTGAAGTGTAACACTACACTCGAGGAAAGTCGTATCTGTTTAAATGAAGTTTTGCATTCCTGCAATTTCCGTGTTCAGTGTAGCTAGCGGTATCGAGTTTCTCGGTAAGGAAACAGGTCCGGTCTCGGGATGACGTCAGCATACCGCTTCAGTTACGCGATTAGGCGTAACGAGTCGTTTCAGTCATGCGAACAGTCGCGACCCTATAGTATGACGAATAGGTCGCATAGCGCGATAGTGACATACAAATACTTTAGCGAACAGGTAGTTTCTCCATAGCTATAAATCCTTGTAATGCCTTTCTAATAAAAACCTTGACTTTCCACAGAATTATGTGCTCAAGTTATTCAAACTTCGACTACCCACAAGTTCATGTGCTCAGGTTCACTCGTATAAGACTTCCGCTGTCTTACTAGTCTACCATTCCAGCAACGATCCTTGGTGAAGTACTCGTGTTTGTAGATTCTATACTTCGTCTCCCACAGCACCTGTCACTTGTTTGTCCTGCGGAAGAGCATATTGTAGAGCATTACATTGTCTCCATGGCCCTCGCTGTTGAGTGACCCGCTGGGGTTGCCCTTGAGATCCTCGGGGAAGGGCCACAGGTGCAGAGCCTGGGGGGTTATGGGCGCACTTACCCGCTATTCAACAAGCCCTTTTAACCCAGTGGTTAGTGGCTGGGTTTCTGACACTCGCTAGGCGCTTTCGTTTTGTGATTTCCGAGACGAAGCAAAATTCGATATCTAAATTTTCAGCCGAGTGGTTGCTTGTTCACACACACCCCCGGGCTTTGCCATTGTAACTTCACATGCCGTAGTGGAAACAAAAATATTCGATTCTCAACTCCCGAGAACCTTGGTCGGTCGGGTCCAAGGACGGTGGGGTCCAAGCCAAGGTCGCAAACAGGGCGAAACTTGGATGGGTCACGAACGAGTTTGAAAGGCGTGTGGGGAAGGGGACAAAAAATGAAATAGAAGGGACGGGACTCGGGGAGGCAGGCAGCACCCTCACAAAATGGTTAGCGGGGGTCAATCAGCGCCCCCCACACGTCAGCCCCCACCAACCTTACAAGCCGCAAAATCGGTGAAGGACCAATCAGGGCCCAAGCGCTGAACCTGGCGAACCAATTAGCGCCCTCACACTACCACTCCTCGCGTTGTGAGGGTGCTAATTGGCCCTTTGACAAATTTATCCCATCGGGAGCCCGATGGGGTACATTTGTCAAAGGGCCAGTTAGCGCCCTCACAAATCCTCAAGCAATTATCGGACATTGATTTTGGCTAAGGGCTAATCAGCCCCCTCATACATCAGCAAGGATCAGTTTCAAGGTGGGGGGGGGGGGAGGGGGATGGGGGAGGGGAGGAGGATTTCAGATTTTGTTTCAGGGTGCATACGCGATATGACACTGACGCATCAGTTTCGACCCACAAAAACACTATAAAAAATCAGTGTCCTTACATACAACGTCCCTGAAAAATCAGGATCGACCCCTTACTTAGAACTGAGTAGAATGAATTAGTAGAGTACTTGGGTACAAGCATACATATCTAAGGGTTGTACTCTCTAAGAGGTGACCCTATACAGTCTATACAAACACTAGATATACTAATGTTTGACACACCCCCTAGACTGCGTAGGGGCAGTTCCTGAACAAGCAGCTCAGGGTGGCACTACTAGTCAAGCCACTGGGACAAGGGTCTAAAGTCCAGTCAACAGGAGTACAGGCAAGACAAGAACAAGACCAGGGCGGCACTACAAGTCCAGCCACTGGGAGAGGACACAAGTCCAGTCTGAGTGAATATATATATAAAGGACAGTACAAAGTCAATACCCCAGCAAGTGAGAGACTATAGGAACTAGACCAAACTGTACACAGTGCCGCTGATGATCTTTAGGCGCAAGCGCCTTCGTAAAGATATCAGCTGTGTTGGCACCTGAGGCCAAGTGTACTACGCGAGCCTGGCGGCGCTGCTGTAGCTCTCGCAGGAGGAAGTATCGCAGCTGGATGTGCTTCGCTCTGCCCTCGAGTCGAGGCTCCTGACACAAGAGGATCATGGCCCTGTTGTCAACGTACAGGACCGGGGCAGAGCTAGGCCGCTCACCTAAGTCAGTGAGCAAGAAGGTCAGCCATCGGAGCTCCTGTTCCGCCATGGCACCAGCATAGATCTCTGCCTTACAGCTGGACTGGGCAACAGACGAGGAGCGGGTAGCTCTCCACGAGACGGCACCTGAACCAAGGCTGAAACAGTAGCCCTGGGAAGACCACAGTGTCTCGGCGTCGTCTGCCCAAGAAGCGTCTGTGTGTACAGTAAGGACCATTGACCTGCGTCCTCCTAGCACTAACCCCATGCCCGATGTACTTGCTAGATAACGCAAAACCCTCTTAGCGGTAGACCAGTGCTGCGGTCGGTGTCTACCTGTGGCCACAAAGCGAGCGAGGATGCTTAGAGGGTATGCGAGATCTGGGCGAGTGCAAGTCATCAGGTACATGAGGCAACCCACCAGCTCTGCGTAAGGGCCACTGGGATCTACTGACTCCTCAGAAACTGGAGCGGAGAGTCTATGGTCTACATGCAGAGGGGTGGGTTGTGCAGGAGAGAACTGAAGGCCGAACCTCTGAAGGATTTGGCGCACCAAGTGTAACTGAGTCAAGGTGGTGGTGCGCGCTGCTCTGTTCCTGGAGATCTGCAAGCCAAGGTAATGGCGCAATTCTCCAAGGTCAGTGCAAGTGTGTCTCTTCAGCAGCTCTGCCTTTACGGAGGCCAGTTCGTCACTGTCTTCTGTGGCAAAGACCAGATCGTTCACGTAAACAAGGATGTAGAACGGATTCTGGCCAGCACGAACGAAGAGTGAGGGGAGTGCGGAAGACGGAAAGAACTGCAGGTCAGCAAGGGTAGCACGCAGCGTGTTGTGCCACTCACGGGGAGCTTGCCGCAGGCCGTAGACGGGACGCCGCAGGAGCCACTGGGTCCCAGGATGGAAAGTGCCAGTAAAGCCTTGAGGGCGGCGCACGTAGACCTGCTCGTGTAGGCTGCCCTGAAGGAAGGCAGTGGAGAAGTCGAGGGAGTGAAGCTCGTAGTCACGCTGAGCAGCTACGTGTAACAGAACGCCAAGAGTAGTCATCTTTAGGGTCGGTGCGAAGGTCTGGAAGAAGTCCACCCCCTCACGCTGACTGAAGCCTCTAGCCACGTAGCGCGCCTTGAACACATGCGGCTCTCCAGGAGGGCGCTTCACCTTGAAGAGCAAGCGGCCATCGACTACGTTCACCCCAGGCGGGGGAACTGCGTCGACGAAGGTGCCGGTGGATCTCCAAGATGCCATCTCCTACTGCATGGCAGCTATCCACTGAGAGGCCCAGGGTCCCGAGGTCGCCTCAGCATCGGTGCGAGAGGTCGGGATGTCGAAAGCGTCTGGGTTACCCTCAGGGACTAGCAGCATGGATCAGAGATGGGGAGCAGCCTCGGACAAGAAAGCAAGCTCGAACTGGCGGTCCTCGAGGACGTCGCTGCCGAGGGCAGGAGCACCCCCGACAGACGGAGGACAGGCAGGGTCAGAGACCAGAGCGGTGGCGTAGTCAAGGCGACGCGTAGAGGCGAAGTCAGCAACCGCAGCGACAAGAGCGTCAAGACACGAGACCGGAACAAACGGGTCGGTAACGAGAGAGGCGAGGACCCGAGGAACAAGAGGACGAGCGGCACGAAGGTAGTCAGACAGAGGAGGAGGCGCAACGGTAAAAGAGGACGGAGGAGGCGACGGTAGAAGGGGAGGACGAAACGCGTGGGAACGAAGCAACATAGGGTGAGAGCGCATGACAGGGGAGACAGGATGAACACGGGAGGGACGGCGGGACCAGACGTGAGACAGAGGCGTCGGGTCAGGAGACACAGGAGGGGACACAAGGGGGGAGCAAGGGGGAAGACGAGCCGGGGACGAGTCCGGCGGAGGGAACACAGGGCCGTAGACAGGAAGAGGAGGAGACGGCAGGAGAGGACCGGACGCAGGGTCAGGGGACGGAAGGCCGAGCAGGCGAAGGGCGGACACCGGCGGGGACTGCTGCTGCGGCGGCACAACACCATTACTGGGACCGCAAGCTGCTCCTCGGCTACCTCCGGGACACTCCTCTCCGGCACCCCTAAAAGAAACACCTCCAGAGCCCGAAACCCCCCGAGCACCATTACCACCCCCAGGGCCACCGGGGCAGGCCACAACAGGAACCCCAGAACTAGCACCCACCCCAACGCGGGCACCCCCTGGGTCAACGAACAGCGGCTGCGATGGCGGCGGCGGCGGCGGGAACGACGGCTGCGATAGCAGGGGCGACGGCGGCTGCAGAGGCTGTGGGGGGGGAGCCATCGGGGGAGGGGCAGACAGCGAGGACTGCACCGCTGGACCACCAGAGTCAGAGGACTCCTCGACAGGGGCAACGGATGGGAGAGGGGTGGCGTGAGACACAGCAGAGGGGGCAGGACGGGGAGGTGGAGGGGGGGGGGCAGGGACCACCAGGGAAGGAGTGGCCAGGAACAGGGGGGGTGTAATCGGGGGACCGCGGTGGGGGAAGCGACGGTAGAAGGAGACGGACTCGTCGAAGGTGACATCGCGAGAGTGAAAGAAACGGTGAGACGGCGGGTGGTAGAAGTGCCAGTCGGACGTGTCAAAGGGGAAACCTAGGAAGACGCAGGGAAGGGTGCGGGCAGTGAGCTGACCGTGCCAGAGGCACAAACGTGAGCAAGGCAGCCCCAGACGTGGAACGCAGACGCGTCACCAGGAGACCCGGTCCAAAGAAGGGTCGGCAAAACCTGCGGCCGCTGGGGGTGCGGCCACAGGTTAAGTTGGTGAGCAGCGTAGCGCAAGGCGAACGGTCGTTGAAAATGGGGTGCACCGGCATGGATCATGGAGGTGTGAGCCACCTCCATGACCAAACTGATGTGTCGCTCAACGACCCCATTCTGCTGCGGGGAGTCCGGCAGAGTGAACGTCTGGGTGATGCGCTCCGCACGACAGAAGCGACCAAGGACACCTGAGGCAAACTTGCCACCACGGTCGGAGTGAAGACGCAAAACAGGGAGACCTCAGTGGACACGGGCAGAGACAAGCCAGGGGATGAGAGCGTCAGGCACGTCGGCCTTGCGCTCCAAGGGAAAGACTGTGGTGTAGCGAGTGAATTCGTCGACAAGCACGAGGAAGCAGCGATCTCGACGTGGCCCATGGACGGGGGCGGGGCCCCAGACGTCCATGTGCAGGGTCTGCAGTGGCGCGGTGGTAGGGGGAAACGAGGAGGAGTGAGGGTCACGGCGAAGCCGACCCTCAACACAAGGCGTGCAAGGTGGGACAGGGGAGGAGGGAAAAGCGGGGAACGAACCAGAGAGACCAAGAACGAGACCGTGCTGGGACATGTGACGCAGACGGGGGAGCGCAGGGTGACCTAGGCGGTGGTGCCATAGGAGAGTCGGGTGAGTGAGGGACTGACAGGAGCAGGCAGCAGCAACCTGGGTAGACGCAGCCACTGGAAGGGGCGCCCCAGCATGGGGGGTCATGGTATCCAGGGTGAACAGGCAGGACACCGGGTCCTGGGGGAACGTGGACAGGGGAGCACCAGTGGCGGCCTCGGTACAGACAGCATACCGCTCGTGACCAGGGAACGTAGTGGTGACGCCAAGGTCCTGGAGGCAGCCGACACCAACGAGGTTCCTGGAGAACGAGGGGATATGCACACCTGTGAGAGAGCCCGAAGGAACTGCGGACAGGGAAGGGTGGTGGAACTGCGAGCGATTACGGGACCGCCGGAGGGGTCAGCAAGAGAAACTGCAGCAGGAACAGGAAGCGGCGTCAGCGCAGTAGAGTCGCGGAAGAAGCACCGGGAAGCATCAGAGTCCAAGGTGAAGGAAAGCGAAGCAGTGGCGTGTGGCGACGGGGCATTTGCGGAAGCACCAAGGCTAAACAAGGCAGAAGCTCCTACGCCTGACGCAGCAGAGGAGGCTAAGCTAGGCACGCCTACACTAGGCGACAAGGAGTAAGAAGAGGGGAGCACACTAGAGTCATCAGCATACATCACATGCAGGGCAGAAACAATGGCATCCATGTCCATGTCAAAAATCTGAACTCTACGACTAAGTAAACTGTGCCAGTCCGGGAGGTCGGGCGACGGTCCGGAACGCTGACGAAACAGGTCGTCCAGGCGACGAAAACAGCGGGCAGTGGCGTGACCGATCTTACCGCAAACGAAGCCGTGAGGAGGACCGGTCTGGATCTGGTACTGATAGCGCACGCCTCCCACACCGCCACCCGGCACACCACCACGTGCACGACCACCACCAGCGCCAGGCCACCCGGGCGGGAGGGCACTCGCCTGCCTCGTTTGCGGCGGCTGGTGTGGCTGGTGCGGCTGGTGCGACGGCTGCTGCTGCTGCTGCTGCTGCTGCTCAGCTGGACCTGGCAGGGTCCCCTCGTCCACTCCACCACCAGACGACCCAACTCCACCACCACCTCCACTGGCACCCCCACCACCTCCGCCGCACCCAGCCTTGGGGCGGCGGCCCTTCCCTGGACGGAACTGCGCTGCAGCGGCGGTCTCAGCTACAGCTGCAGAACCATCGGAGAAGGTGCACTGAGTGGGGGCACAAACCTGAAAGATAGGGACCGGCACAGTACCGCTCTCCTGGGCGATAGAGCGGTGGCGGGTCTCAATAACAGTCAGGGTGTCTACAAAGTCTGTGAGGGCCAGGTAACCGGGGTGAATGCTAAGGAAGCGGTCACGAGCAGCGGCAAGGCGGTCAGGGAGGCGAGTGGCAAGCAGGTAGAGGGTAGAGGTAAGGGGCGGCTGGTGGGCTCTAAACTGTGCGTCAGTGCAGGCAGCGCGCCAGGTCTCATCTATCGTGCGCAGGTGGGCAGCCAGGTCAGCGACAGTGGGGAAAGACACAAGGTCAGGAAAGAGCATCGGTAGGATCCGACGACCCACCGAGGCAGCAGGCGGGGCGGAATAGCTCCGGATAACAGCGTCTAAGAAAGCCTGGGAGGTGGTGATAGACCTAGAGCGAGGAAGCTCAGACGGGGGGGGGGCATTGCTAATGGCAAGCTGGGCGACAGCGTCACGGGATAGCCAGACAGAGCGAGCGAGGGCAGTGGCCGCAGGAGACTCGCGCTCAGCAGGGGTGGGTTTAGCGGGCACCACAGCAGGGGGATCTGGGCAGGGAAGCGTACCATCAAGGTGTGTCGAGAGCGGGTGGCCATCCTGCCGCTGACCAGTGAGGTGGCGGCGGAGGTCGGCTAGCGAGGCCTCGAACTCCAGAGGCTGGCCTTCAGCATCGAAGCGAATCTCCGCCGCCATCAGTAACAGTGCAGGACAGGGCAAGGTGATGCAGTGGAGTGCCGTCCAGTGCGGTGCAGGGCGGTACAATGTGGTGCAGCGCGGTACAGTGCGGTACAGTGCGGTGCAGCGCGGTACCGTACGGTGCAGAGGGGTGCAGTGCGGTGCAAAGTGATGGAGAACCGTACCAGGGAGGGTGCAGTGCAGTAGCAGGTACGGAGAGCGGGCCGCACGCAGATCGGCGGCAGTCCGGCGGGAAGATGAGCACGGGGCCGGAGATCGACGGGCAGGGCGCGCGCAGGGGTCGGCAGAACGGGCGCGGGGGGGGGGGGGCTGTAGCAGCGGGCGCCGGGCCGGCGAGGACGGGCCTGGGACGGGCGCGGGGCCGGATAGGACGGGTGCGGGGGCATGTAGGACGGGCGCGGGGCCAGATAGGACGGGCCTGGGACAGGCGCGGGGCCGGCTAGGACGGGCGCGGGGGCCAGCTAGGACGGGCGCGGAGGGCCGGCTAGGACGGGCGCAGGAGCCGGAAGGACGGGCGCGGGGCCGGCTAGGACGGGCGCGGAGGCCGGTAGGACGGGCGCGGGGGCTGCTAGGAGGGGCGCGAGGGCCGGTAGGACGGGCGCGGGGCCGACTAGGACGGGCGCGGGAGCCGTTAGGACGGGCGGGGGGCCAGCTAGGAAGGGCGCGGGGGCCGTTAGGACGGGCCCGGGGCCAGCTAGGACGGGCGCGGGGCCGGCTAGAACGGGCACGGGGGCCGTTAGGACGGGCGCGGGGGCCGTTAGGACGGGCGCGGGGCCAGCTAGGACGGGCGCGGGGCCAGCTAGGACGGGCGCGAGGCCAGCTAGGACGGGCGCAGGGCCAGCTAGGACGAGCGCGGGGGCGGCTAGGGCCTAGGGCGGAAGCATGGGCGGGCGGCGGGACCTACCTACTGCTGATACCATCTTATAACTGAGTAGAATGAATGAGTAGAGTACCTGGGTACAAGCATACATATCTAAGGGTTGTACTCTCTAAGAGGTGACCCTATACAGTCTATACAAAAACTAGATATACTAATGTTTGACACCCTTCCCCTAGGGTGAAAAATCAGGGTCAGTACAGCAAAACACCCTGAAAATCAGGAAAATCAGGAGAAAATTCCTGAAATCTCAGGGCCTGCACGAGAAGGTTGAATGAAAGAACACGAAAAGACGAAGGGACTCGAAGGGTTGCAACCGGAGGTTGCGACTGACAGTTGCGACTGCAAGGGTGGTAACCGAACCGACAATCGGGTCGCTGTGCGACTCGATAAACCATTCCTTCAACTGCATTCTACACCTGCTTTATCACTTATTTTCTATACATTGCTGTAAGCTTATTTTCTTTAATCAATCACTTGCTCTCACATACTAGTGCAAGGGTTCAACTACTCAACACTTCCGCTGCACTACTCAACACCTTGTACAAGTGGGACTTTGTCTCTGGAAAGTTCCTAGGGCTTTTCTCAGCCCAAATATACGAAATATTGGGCTCGGCATTGCCATGATTCAGGCGAGAGAGGCGAGTCTGGGAAGGGCTGTGCACTAAGCCTTTTTAGCCTTCTTCACTTTCCTGCCTTCCCCTTCTTGTGTGGGCTTGGGATGCGCTGCTTTTGTTGTCTTGGCTGTTCCACCAGCACCACCACCAGCGGTCCCACTCTTCCCAGCAGCTCCAGCCTTAGTGCCTGTCCCAGCCTTCGCCTTCGCAGTCCCTGTTCCGGCCTTCCTTGCTGCAGACGCTTTACTCGTTCCCCCTTTCTTGCTGGCCCCTGTAGTAGTGGCCCCAGCACCAGTTGCAGGGGCAGCAGAAGCACCAGCAGCAGTACCAGCAGCAGTACCAGCAGCAGCACCAGTAGCTGCAGCAGCACGAGCAGCAGCGGACGAATCCGCTCCTCCTGTCTTGTCCTCTGCTGTTGCTGCTTCACCTGCTGCTGCTGGCTGTGGCAGTGAAGGCAAGGCGATGTCTGGGGGAGGTGGAGCTGGAGTGAGTTTCCTCACAACGCCCATGATGACATGGTCTAGCCGCGCCATCTCTCTCACGTCCGCTGCACTCGGCATTGCCTCTGATGCTGCTGGCGTGTCAGGGCCTTCCGCTGTGTCTGCCTCGGGCTCGGATTTATCTGCAAGGAAAGGTTAACGGACGGAGGGGAATGCGGAAGAAAGTGGCACAGCGTTAATGATGACATGGTGTAGTCACGCAATCTCTCTCACGTAAGTTGCAGTCAGCTTTGCCTCTGATGCTGCTGGCGTGCCAGGAGATTCCACTGTCGCTCCCTCAGACTCTGACCGCTCTGCTGGGGAGGAACGTTAGGAGGGATAGGGGAAAGTGGAGAAAGTGGGAAAGAAGTGTTGGAATAAGAGTGCATGACTCGATACGTATGTGCCCCATTACTGACACGCAGCAGCCCCAGGTGGCACACTACAGAATCAACACTTTCGAAGGAAAAAAGCACGGGTGCGGTGCTGTTGTTAAGTAAGACGGCTTGAACACATCCGTGACTAGAGGAGACAGGGAAGTGGCAGGTTGCAGTGAGAGGACGAGGGAAACTGATGATGTGGACCGAACCAAACAATCATCGCACGAGGGTGTAACGGTGCATAGACGCACTTGCAGAGAAGGGAGAAGGTTGAGGACGACGGGGACTTCATGTGACCCTGCTACTACTGGCAGCCACACTCCTTCCAGCAACCCATCAAGTTCCACCGCCTACCTTCTTTCGACCGGGCAGCTTCGGGATTGTCAAGAGCCGCCCGGGTCATGGCAAAGGCTGCCCGTAAATGGTGCAAGGCGCGGGACTGGGAAAGGGGGGAGGGGAGGGAGAAGGGGAGGGGGAGGAGAGGGGTGGAGCAGGGCATAAGAGTGGGGATGGGGATTGGGAGTGGGGAGGCCAAAAACATGGGCAAGGAAGGGAAAGATCGGGAACACAGGAGGAAGGGGAAACGGACAGGAGAGTGCAAAGGAAGGAAACAGGAAAGGAAAGGGGGTTTAAAAGAGGGAAGGACGCAAACAGAACAGGGGAGAGAGCGGAAAAGAGAAGAGTGCAACATATGAATAGGTGGCTTGCAGGTAATGCCATGCACTCTGGATGAAGGGTGAGGAAGAAGTGGGGTAGGAATAGGGGAAGAAAACAGCAGGGACAGCAGGGGAAAAACATAGGAAGGCAGCAGCAATTGAGCCAGTAGACAGAGACCTCTGAGCCGACTGGGAATTTTGCATGACATAACTGCACGGGAAGCATGCCTTGCACTCACAATGTGGAAGCCGATGACACCATACAGGGAGGGCGCCAAGTAGATCGATCCGTCAAGGGTGTAATAGGCTGCCATAGGCATGGTGCAGTGTAAGTTGCGTGGGAATTAGACACCCACTCACCACACTGAAGCACATGGCATGGACTGGCTGACTCACAATGTGGGAGCTAATGACGGCATGCAGGGAGGGCGCCAGGTAGATGGAGCCACCGAGGATGAAGGAGACTGCCACAGGGGTGGTGCGATGCTTAGGCGCGTGGAGAGCAGACACTCATCACACTGAAGCACATGGCACGGACTGGCTGACTCACTATGCGGGAGCCAATGACGGCGTGCAGGGAGGGCGCCTGGTAGATGGATCCGTCAAGGATGTAGTATGCTGCTACAGGCGTGGTGCGATCAGGACTGTCCCTTTTCTGCTTGCGCAGCACAAACAGGTGCGGCTCCTGCGCCATGTGCAGCGAGTACTCCCACCCCACCATCTCCCTGGATATGAGGAGAGGGGGGACGGAAAGAGAACAAAGGACAGGAGGTGAGAGGAAGGTGGAAATCAAGGCACGATGACAAACACATGCGGCTCGTGCGCCATGTGCAGCGAGTACTCCCACCCCACCATCTCCCTTGTCACGAGTGGATGAGGAAGTTACGACATGACAACACAAGGATAGAAAAGAACAGGGCGTCAAACAAATGTGGTGCTTGCGCACCATCTCCCTGGACGCGAGTGGATGAGGGGGGGGAGCATGGGGGGGACGCAAGGATAGGAGAGAGAAACGAGGGAAATCTCAAGGCAAGGTGATCCCGAGACAAGGTGACAACAGAAGCAGCGCTTGCAGCATGTGCTATCCCCTATGTCTCGTGAAGGACGGGGCTCGAGAGAAGAGGAGAACAGGGGGTCCGGACGGGGAGAGGGGGGAAGAGTAATGTGATGGAAGTGGACTTAGAACGCCTCCAAGGGCTAAACAGAATTTATTTCCAGGCAACTGAGAACACGTGCTTCCACCTGTGGCTTGCCCGGTCAAAGAAAAGAAACCCCTCATTCGTCGCTGCTTAACGCTCAACGCACTTGTCCTAATGCCGGAAACCACCTGAACAAGAGCCAGAAACCCACTCATTGTCCGCGGTTTCAATGGGGTGAATGCTCGGCATTCAGTGCTGCTCAATGCACCTGAGCTAACACCCGAACCTCGCCTGAGCAAACGCCTGGAACCTACCTGATGCGAGCTGTGTGAAGGGGGTGAATGTCCTTTACCCCGAGCTGCTCGGTGCACCTGAACCTCACCTGAGCTGACGCTTGAGGCCCACCTGAGGCGCGCAGTGTCGAGGGGGTGGATGCCTTGCATCCGGAGCTGCTCGTTGTTGCACGTGCGATCGTAGAACGGCGAGTTGGCGAAATAATCGAACACGTTACCGGGCACGAGGCAACCGCCAACGAAATTCAGAAATATCTGATCGCGAAAACAGAGACCCGTAAGGTCTAACGATGGCACAGCCGGTTGCGGAGGTCCCGGCGGAATTTGCGGTGGAAACGCCGCCATCGTGGCTTGACGGCTAGTTTATCACTCTTCGGTGTTTCAACCAGGGCTGGATGAGAATGGATGAGGGAAACAGCCCTCGAAGTTGCCACCTTATAAAAAAGAGCGAGGGAGGAGGGTCGAATTGGATAAGTGAAAACAACCTGCTCCTTGAATGGCTACAGTCGTGGCTAAGGGCGGATCCAAATATTTCATTTCGGGGTTCGGGTTGCTATTTTACGAACCCGGGTACAGATCCATGAAACGACTCCGATTCGTAAACACCAGAAATTGTGTCCCCGTTCGCACGTAGCACACAGGTGGGACGCCGATTGTCGAGATGTGAGAAAACCGAACAGCGCGCAACGGCCCAAAACGCAGTTACCAAATGTATACCTGCGCTAAGCATCTGTTTCGCAGCGCGTAAAATACAACAGGCGGGGAAAATCACCATAGCCACACGTGAGAGAGACACTCAACTCGTGGCGGGTTCGGTCGCGGATGCGGTCTGGCATCGCGCGCGCAGATGTATTCGCGTCATCGCCTGGTTTTCGCCACAGCCAACGGGACGAAATCCAGGCGCGACACTTTTGGAAACTCCATCCCCGAATCTTGCACCTCACGGCTTCTTTACGTACCAATCCGAAATCTGGTACATGGATTGACGCATGGGAAGGGTGTCCCACGCTACGCGTCAGTTTCTTTCGTGTCCTGGCGAAACCATAAACGAGGTGTTACTCGTTAAAATCAGGTCACTGATCACGAAGTGAATAGAGTATGAACTATTTAGACCCTCCCTGAGGACCGTACCCAGCCATTTCAAGTTGAACAACTGCCCCTTAGGGCGCGTCCAAATAGTACGTCTGATTACGGTGGAGTAGCTTTCGTTGTGTTTCAAAGTGTTCGAATAAAATATTATAATGGTTGGGTATGGTATTTTGCGAAAACGATTTTTTTGGACCCGCCTTTAGGGCAAAACCAAATCGTTCGATTGGGGGTTTTGGGAAACGTTTTTACGAACTCGGATAGGACAACTGAAAACGATCCCAAAATCGTCCCCCCCAAACGGCGTCTCATATTGCGAATGAAATAGAAGCTGGCGCCAACTGGGTGTGTCTGAAAAAGCAGTTTGTGTCAGACGCCCCCAAATCGCAGTTACCAAATGTCGCAGCTCGCGAAACAGATGTTTCGTGCTGGGTTAAGTGGCAGGTGCGATTTGGCGTTGCGCCACGCGAGATGTTCGCGAGGTCGCCTTGTTCGCGGTTCATGTGCACTCACATGCGTCGAGCGTCCCAAGTTACGTCAATATCGTGCACGTGTCCTCGCGAAATACAAACGAGGTAAAAATCAGGCTACTTTCCACCATTCTTATAACACGCCCTAGGGAAGTTGCACCGATGACTCCGTCAGTGCAATGATATTTCAGACTCAGGGAGGGCTCAGATAAAAACTTGGCATTCAGTACGTATGGTTTCTCGGAAATATTGATCTAGGTGTCAGTTTGAGTTCGTAACACAAGCTCGTTATCCCCTTTAGAGTTCGCACTTTCCTTGTGCCGAAAGTCATTCGGCCAGATTTTTCATTGTTCTGGATGGAAACCGGTTCCGACATCAATGTAGTATTGAGGGCGGGTCCAAATAGTTCATACTCTATTCATTTGGTGAAAAGTAACCCGATTTTAACCTCGAGCTGCTTTCGCGAGGACAGGTGCGCGAATTTTCCATAACTCGGGACGGTCGAAGCATGTGAAGGTACATGTACCCCTGTCTAGATCCGTTTACGATTCGGGTGACGCTAGGTGTGCGTACGGGGGGCGGGTGGACATGATTGGCAATGTAGGGTTTGACGAGAACAAGGCGAATTCATGAAAACTTCGCGTGGCGCAACGCCCAATCGCACGAAAGATCTATCTCGCAGATTCAGCATTTGGTAACTGCGATTTGGGGCGTCTGAGGCGAACAGTTTTTTTCTGTGACGCACCTAGTTGGCGCCAGACTCTATTTTCGTTCGCAATGTGGGACGGGGTTTTGGGGGAAAACGATTTCGGGATCGTTTTCAAGTTTTGTACCCGAGTTCGTAAAAACGTGTCCAAAACCCCCAATTGAACTATTTGGACCCGCCCTGAATGGCACATCTTTCTTGGAGCTCTCATCACTTCCCGCGCACAGAATCCAAACCCATCGGAACCGAGCATGTGGACCATGGTACAGCTTGAGTGAGGCATCCCTCGAATTGGAAACAGATGGGTTCATTGTCACGTGGCATGCCACCTTGATCAGCCACTGAGACATCCATCAGACCTTGCAAAGATTATGCTAGTAGGTCGTAATATCGGCAAGCTGGATGGTAACTTGTCTAGCTTGAACGAGACCGCATAGTTAGTGGTTCCAATCCATCACACACAACGTCTCCTGTCTTTCGACCTGGCAATCACACTCAGATAACGTTTCACTAGGTTTTACAAAGACAACCATACGGCATCGTCCCGCATGTTGAAACCCCTCAACCACCTCGTCGGCTGAGTGAGGAGGTGGACAATTGGTACGAGGGATCGCATAAAGTCTCAGTGCGTCGCCAGAGCTCAGGAATCTCACAATCTGTGCGTCGTCAAAGCTCCGGATTTTCACAATCTTCGCGTCGTCAAAGCTCTGGAATTTCAGAAGCCATTCAGCGTCTTACTTCTCAGAGATATGAATCGGATGATTCGCGTTTACTCGAAGCCTTGAATGGCGTTGGTGAAGCAGCACAGATTCGTCTTATAATAGCATATCACGATGTCCTCAAGAACTCAGCGGTTATGGGATTTTCAGCATTGGCGGAAGACGGGGAGATTGGGGGTCTTGAAATGCCTCGTGGAACGAGTCTGCTCTTGAAGAACGGATTGAGAAGCTATCTGCTTTTGATCAAACCATACTTGCCACGGAGTCCAGCTCAGGTACGATATGATGGGCTACGCCTTCGTGTGTGTTTGTTTACAAGAATACCTGACAGATCATACGTGCTTCTGTAGGTTATTAAGATTCAAGGACTTCAGTATGTTGGCAAATCTAAGCTACTCTCTACCACGACACGAAACTGCTGGAACGCAGTAAGTTGTTTGCTTCAAACTTTCTGAAATCGCTGCTCCATAAACCAATCTGGAGTACGCCAGGGGTATCTAAGCCTGAAGAACGCATTAAGACCTGAGGAGCCTGTTCCAGTGTTAAAGCACATAAATGGGTAATTGAGGTTCTCATCTAGTCTTACACTAATTACACAGCCCTTCCGTTTTCCAGCGCTTACTGTGCCAATTGATTTTCTGCAGATATTTCATGCCAGGCACATTGACCCTAGTTATTGGACCAGCTGGTGTGTTGAAGGGGTTGCCGCCTGTGAACTATTCAAGGAGACGCTTTTCTGATATTTTGTCATTTCCACACAGGAAGTGGAAAGTCTATGCTTTTGAAGCTCATTGGAGACCAGCATGCTCCTTCTGAAGGCGCTATTCGATTGAACGACATGCTCAGCACGAGCGCCCACGTTCATCACACTGTTGGCATGGTACCAGAGGAGGACCATCATCTTCCTCTTCTTTCTGTCCGCGAAACTTCGGAATATGCTCGGAGATTTTCCCGTTCTGTCACTCTCAGACAGCTAAAGCACAATGCAATGACGCATGCTGTCCTGCATGAAGTGTTTGATGCTTGAGAGGATCCGCTTGTGGAATCTAGGCTTCTGATGTTTGGTCTGACAAGTCACGCCAATTCACGTGTGGGAACAGCAGGCTTGACAAAAGATGAGAGGCACCGGCTGACAGCAGCAGAAACCGTCGTTGGAGCCCATCCAGTGAGTCTCAGGAGGTTTTCTCTCATTTTCTATCCACTGGAATGTTGTAACTTTTGGTTTGGTTTCCTTTCAGGTTCTGGTGTTTGATCACATCAGCGAACTATATGATGGTCCATCCACTTATAGGACCCTGTCCATGCTGAAAGAATATGCCCAAGTCTGACAGACAGTGGTGGTGTGAAGCCTCCAGTGGCCTACTCAAGAAGTCTTCAACATATTTGATCGTGTCATTGTGCTCAACTCTGGCCAAGTTGTGTATCAAGGTTCAACTGCATGTTCAACATGCTACTTCGAAGATTTGGGGTATGATCAATCCTCGCTTCAGATAGTGCTCTTATTAGGTACAAGAAGCCTAAGCACATAACGGAGCCAGAGTTTCTTCAAATCGTTTCCACCGAGGCTAGAGCACAGCTTCTTGATCCAGGCTATGAGAAACTGGATCTTGAAGACTGTGGTAGGGACCGATTTTCCCCACTTAGTCTCGCACATACTTTTCTCCATTATATGTTAACGAGTGAGTCTTACTTTACCTTCTTATGGTGGACAGTGCGGGCGTATGAAGGCTCTCCTCTTCATCGTGATGTGATGCGCATTGCCAATGACAAAGGCATCAGGTGCACCATCTGGGTTTCTGGACCAGCCAAGCTTGTTCTCACCCGCATTACTCTTGATCTTTCCTCGCCAGATGCAGAGTCCTCCGCCACAGCCTCGAGAATAGTTGTCCTCGAGTCAGACTGCAAGGATGATAGCGAGGATGGAGAGCTGAGTATGACTGGGCCTATTGAAGAAGGCGATGAGCTGGTTGGGTTTGCACTTATGGGAAAGCAATTTGAGTATGTAAGCAGCGAATGTGGTAAGCTGGACCCGCAAGACCTTGGCAAGTACATTGAAAATCTCAAGGAGAGCAAAAATATGGTTCAGCTTCAGTTTCAACGGCCTGAGTCAACGTCGTCTCGGGAAAAGGTGATGGAATTTCTCTATTCTGTTGTGTTGTTCGGCTTTGTTGGGCAACGGTTTACTTAACTTTCATGCACAGGTCAAAGGAAAGCCTAATGAGGTGAAGCAGAGAAATACTGGTACATATTGGACCCCTGGCCTGAGTTCGTGCTGTTGCTGCAGCGACAGCTATTATCGTTATGCAGGAATCGATTTGCATTGATGGCACGATTCATTCAGGTTCGCATTGGCATGTTTCTCCCTTTGAACATGGTCCTCAGATGTTACTGCCAGATTGACGTTACTCGACTTGTGACTTTGGTGTTGCAGATTCTGGTCATGTCCCTTTTCCATGGCTTCAACTTC